TAAGAAAGTTATCAGGGTGTCTCGAAAATCCAACATCTGCCCAACTTTCAAGTCATTCCATTCTGGGTGAGCCCACCAGCGCCTCGGAACACATGATTAGAGTTTTTTCCGGAAAAACTGGGTAGTCATTGGTCCAATTCAGAGTTTCGTAGTCCTGTTGGTTCAATTCTCGCAAGATTCAATTATGTAAATGCTTAACCGAATTCGTTGATTCCATGGAACTTGCACGCCAACCCGAGTCATCCAATAGGGGTTCCAGGATTGCAGCAGTTCAGCCGTCAAGGGAAAAAGAGCATTTCGCCTGAGAACTACTATAAGGCCATGTAGCATTTCAAATGAACTCGATTCAGCGATTTTCCTCGACGACAACCCCAAGGTGACCGTCTGAACCCATCAGGATTTTCGATCAAATGATGGTACACAAGAGGTAAAACGAAGCATTATTAGAAACGAATTTTGGTTATTCACTCTGACTCCAATCTAACATTACCTATCGTAGGACAATAAATGCTCTTTTGGTCTCCCATCTCTCTGATGCTGTCCAGACCAACGAGCAAAGCTTCATAAATGATCAACACACTCTGTTCGAAGGGAGTCAACGTAGCAAAGCCACATTTAGTCATAAGGAAAGGATAAAAGAGAGTGACTTAACGAAGTAGCAAATGGTTCTTACCCCCTCAATGAAATGTGTTTCAAGCTGATTGAATTAGGTTTTTTTGCTCCAAGTCACCACAGCTTCCCCATTATCTTGCTATTCGCTTTTTTACCGGATTTCATTGCTGTCGTGGAAATGCCCATTTATCTATCAGCTGACAGAGTACAGGATGTCGAGCTACCACGAAAAACCTGAGCGGAAGCTAACCTTTTTGTTCCCGAACATTTGGTCCCCACTCAAATAATCTTCATTCGGGAAATTATTCTCCAGCAGGACTTCTTTGATCACTTCCGAACATTTACTCCATGATCTGGCTCATCTGAAGAAGTTATTTTTTTTTAGTATTTCAGAACGTATGGATCAAACACTAATTTGAACTCTCTCATATTTCTGGGACGAAATTGAAACCTATACCTGTGCTTTTGGATAATACGCTTATTCATACACTTCCGATACATCGTGCATCTTCCTTGACCACCATAGGTAACTGATAAGCACGACAATCGGAGATCTGGGGTAGAACGGAGTTCAGTCATAGGCTGAGAGACTTGCCTATAACTCATTCAACTCACAAATGCTCATAATATAGCCCAGTGACTCATTAAATTCCACGTTCGGTCTTCTTCAAACGTTGGCATGTCGCACAATATTTTACACTGTTTTTGCCGTTCAGGTTTGTTATAGTGGAAACCGCTTTATATGGTCGACGTGTCGACTATCTCATCGTCTTCAAGGACCTAAAAGTAGCTTAAAGTAGTAGCGTTCGGGCGCTTGGTCGAGTAAGCTACATATTAGGAGCTCGAACTACCTTCAGATCCTTAGGACGACNAGATAGTCGAAACGTCGACCAAATAAAGCGGTTTCTACCATAACAAACCTGTACGGCAAAAACACTGTAAAATATTACTGGTTAATTTGTTCTTCTGCAAATACCAAAATAAAGCTAACTAGAACTAGGAACTGCTAGGAATAAAGTGAATGACAAAAGGCGAGTGGACTGAAAAATTCCTAGGAGCCTACTTCGTCTCTAATCCTCATTGTCAAGTAGCCCTTTTGCTGTGTTAATGAAGCATCTGATCGTATTCGCACCTGTGAACACTTTCACAGTGCTGCTCAGTGTGGGTGGTATGATTATGGGGTTCTCATCAAGGTAAAATTAATGGACACATAGCAAAAATCGATCAACTTTCTTATGAAAGGCGTAGAGGATTAGAGATAGCGGTTCGGGTGATCAACTCAGGTAGTGTTTCTAGCTAAGCCAGCCCGTACGAGTAGTTTTCCTGGGGCGCCAACTTTTCTCACTATCTCAACGGCACGATGTTGCCATTTAGGCTCCAAATTTGTTTGCTCTCTTAATTGTGTTGTTGTTTAGTTATTCATTTCGTGTACTCCTGTCAACATCGATGGTTCTTTATTTGTCATCGAATGGGTTGAATGAACACAAATGATCGATAGAGAAACGGGGTTTGGAAAAAAATGTGGAATTCATAAAAGGAGGAGGGGAGGTAGTCAAGAGGAGTGGGAACTTGCAAATCTTAAAAATACATGAATATAAAAGGAACAAAAAGTAGCATTATCTTCAGTTATGGAACAAACAGCATCGTACCCGAGCAATAAGGGGCTACACTAACGGCGCACCGGGAATCCATTGGTCGATCGAAACCGGCCTAGACCTATCTGAACCCCGATTCTTCAGTATGCGTGTCGAATCTCTGAAAAATCAAAACTAAAAATGTGAACAATGAACTTCAGAATAAGTTATTCTTTGAGTCTACCAGTACTCATTTGCATCTGTTCAAGTCCCTCAAATAGACTCGGAAGCGGAGCACATGAACGATGCGTGCAGGATAACTGATAGACCAATGTTATGATCAAAAACTGCATGGGCTTTATTTGGACTTTCTCTGATTATTTTAGAGGCTAAAAATCGGAGTTAGTCAAGATTGCAAAATATTTTGGAGACTACCAATCGCTTTCAGAAAATTTCGAGGTATCATTTCTCGCTCGATAACTGGGCCAGTACAACCTCAATCCTGTGGATTCTTTACTCGAACAGAATAGGTCAGGTGAAACGATTGTAATTGTGCATCAACCGCTTAGCAACTTTCCAATGAAGCCGCTCACCTTTAAGTTGAATATGAGGACGAGAGAAGTGGAAATGGTCAAAGTTAGGTTACTCCTGTGTAGGAAGTTATTCATCAATCCATTATCACTCATCTTCTAGAAATCTTCTTGTCAGAATGAACTATATCATCAATTAGAAGATAAACCTCAAAAAGGATGTCCCTATAATTAGATAAAAAGAAAGAAAAGAAGGGAACTAGCAAAAAGCAAAATCACTCCGTTTCTTACTCCGTTATATTGGTACCCTAATAGTAGAACTGATTGACCTTTACGGTCAGTTTGTTCTCAGTGTTCATAATTTATGTTTATATTCTAAATTTAGTTTTGAAATTACTCAGCAGTGGATAATTGTAAAGAATCTATCGAATAGGCTGCTTGGCTCTTTGGTTCTGATCTGAACGACGGTAACAAATCGATGGTCATCATTCACTGGGCCTAACTCAGAAGTGTCTTTCGTTCAGACGACCTTTTCCTTTTCCTATTTTGTATTTTTTTCAAATTTTATTCTGTACGAGATTTATAGCTCGTTTTTANTTGAGTTTTTCAGATCATATAGAGTTCTCAAAAGCCTTAGATCTATGTGACCCTTGAGACCATGTAGGTGCAACAGTAGAACCGATAATAGAAGGGGATAACTTCCATTCAACATTTCTTCCCTGTTTCTGAGAATGATCCAATTATTTACTCTAATTTATCTATTTCTTTTGATTGAAAAATTGTTAAATTTTTAAATGCATTTTATACTTGGGTTTTTGGTTCTGAAGAGTTTTCCTCCGCTGTTTACCTTGCTGTACTGCATTAATCGCCAAAAAAGTGAAGGCTGGAAGAGATACATTGAAAACGGAGAAATACCGGTTCAGTTTTTAATACAAAGAAGGGGATAAGATCGTAAAAAGGGATAGAATTTTTAGAGCTACATGATAGCCCTAGGCTGAACCTCACACGACTGTCACTCTCGAAGCCGATTCAGGGTGGCCTCCCCGAACAAGTCTGGAGATCCGGTAGCTTTCACCCGCACAAAAAGTGAACCTTCCTCCACACTACGTTTCTTCCACCCTTGTACCTATGCAACTTCCAAAATCTGCGAATGGAAAATGCAGGGGAAAGATATGTGAGGCTCAGCTCCTCATCAATCATTCAAGTCTATGTTAATTGCCTGTGAACAAACTCAGTATTCCCTAGAATGCACGACCAATCACTTTTTAACGATTCATCCAGAAATGGTGATACAGAGTGATGTTGTCAGAATGATGTGCTTTCTGTGGCTGGCCAAGCTAGTGTGAAGAGTGGTCTCCCAAGGGACCATGTTGGTGTTTTCTGTCGCTCAGAACATTATCTGTCTTGATCGCAATTCTGCCAACAACAAACCACCAATCCTGAGGTTGTTTCTTCAAGCCTGCCATATGGGCAATAGGGACAAGAATTTTAATCAAACCAACCTATTTAATAATTCTAAAAATGGATTGGAGGGGAGAAATATGGTTCGATACAACTTTCAAACTATTGATTTCCAAACCATTGAGCCTTCTATTTCAACTTGGAAGAAGAATGTGAGCACGAGTTTGAGCAATATTTTCAGAATTATTGAACAGGTTAGGCGTGGATTCCCCGCCCGTATACAATAGTTCCTTCGGCTCAATCCGCCCACTGCAGTCAAGCTTGTCGGGGCCTCTGCACCGGTTGTTTCCCTCAAATGACATTTTGTAGAAAATGCACTGCAATGAATTAAAATGAGAATAAATTGAAGCTCAACTGTAGAAGCCATACCGTTATCGAGGGCTCTTTCCATCACACCTTCATGATGATAATATGATCCGTCCCTCGTATTTCTTTAAATAGGATAGGCAAGCGAGGCTGATCTCACTTTTATAGAAGCTCCAGGAGTGTTATAAGAATGCCAGCTACTCCCTACCAATCAACTACTTTATTGTCACAGGATTCGACTGATTGAGATAAAATTTATTCTACGGATTGCGGAGCCAATCACTTTTTGACCGTTGATTTTCCTGGCTGAATGCTTTAATAGTGACTAGTACCCAAATTTAGAGAATAAATCTTTTTTCGAACTGCACAACAAAATCAGTTCAGTAGCCAACAGTCCGACAGTTTGTAATTCATACAGTTCTAACTTACTAATTATCCAAAACCTCTTGGGAATATCGAAACAATTGATTTCCCCTTTCGCCTAATTTTTTCCGACTCATGCTTCACGATTTTTTTGATGTTTTTTTTTNTTTTTTTTTCAGTTGCTGCAATCTCCAATGCGGAAGAATACTCAATAGAGAAGAGAGGTGGTGGACGAGCCTTTGTGCCTATCGAAGAGCGAGGTGGAGCCAGAGCCTTTTTCGGTGATGAAAAACGGGGCGGAGCCAGAGCATTCGTGGTGGACACGAGGGGTGGAGCACGGGCGTTCAGGGATCTGAAACGAGGCGGAGGACGAGCCTTCATACCGGTCGAGGAACGAGGAGGTGCTCGAGCCTTCTTTAAAGACGATAAAAGAGGTGGGGCCAGAGCGTTCGTACCTGTGAAAGAAGAGGATGAAGGTCAATCATTCACCGACTTAGAAAAGAAAGGTGGAGCAAGAGCTTTCTTTATACCAAAACGAGGCGGGGCACGAGCATTTGTGCCAATTGAAGAACGAGGAGGTGCTCGAGCCTTCTTCCAAGAGCCCAAGAGAGGTGGAGCAAGAGCATTCCCAAAACGTGGTGGGGGCCGAGCTTTCGTTCCTCAAAAAAGAGGAGGAGCAAGAATTTTCCAAAGTACGAAGCGGGATTATATGGACGAGTATCCTGAATGGCTAATGTACGATGAGCCGTCACCATTCGAAGAGAGTCGAACCGATGGCACATTCTAATCAGACACACGTGAGTTACTAGATGATCTTCTTGATTTTGATTGAGCATGAGGTGAAGCTCTGAATTCAAGTTTTTGCACTTATACCAGAACGGTTTTCTATCTGCTTTTGTGTGAGATTTATTTACGAAGGCAGGATGTGGTCAGACTATCTACCTCATTTCCCTTTTAATGGATCTCTTACATCATTTTTACCATATCCTATCTGTCCGCTGCCCGAATCTGCCATCTTTCCAGTACACATTACTATTACCACAAAAAATTAACCGTGACGTGAGCAAGATCCCATCTGATACTCAGACCGGAATTCCAGAAACTTGCCAGTCGAATGTGCATGTCACTTCCAGAACTCGAGGGGAGCTCTTCATCAATTCCTGTCATAATCCTTATTACATAACCACCTAGCATCATTATAGGTCAGGCTAAAGGATACAAGAACACTAGAGGCCATAAAAACGTGATAAATACAGTTGTATGAATAAGGGTATGCATCCGGGCGGGTACATCTTACTCTTTCAATAACCCAAGTGCCACGAAATCGGTATGTGATGACAATATCAGAAACAAGTAAAAACTAATTAAAAGTATGTAATCCTAATATTTATTCAGATAAACGACCATGGAAACGAGACGACGCGCGATCTCAGCCGTGAAGTGTGGTATCTATTCATTGTTTGCGGTTGCTTAGTAGAAAAATGAATTTTCAACATTTTCGCCCCTCCATCACAGATGTCGCAATAAAGCAGTTTGATCAAATCCTGAAATTTTTACTTTCTTACTACAAATTAGACGAGTTCAAATTATGTCACACCCAATTTCAAGTTACACGTCTCTAGAGTTACTAGAAGAAGGGGCAGCTGACGAAGCTGGTGAACAAGAAACTCTCCATAGGATGCAGTGCTCTGCTTCTGTACAGAATGGTAAGGATACTTGAATGGATTACAGCTATACACAAAATTCAGTAAATTGTCCCCTTCTATCAGATCACTGATTATGCCATACCAAACATTTCTGGCCTTGATAACCATTTCAAAAGGCCGAAACCTTATACTGATTTCAAGTGCGCTGAAGGAATAAATTAGGCACAGATTATGGCTTTCCATGAACTAACTGCATACTCCTCTGAGACACCTTCTTTGTTGTATAATTCTGTTTTTTCTATGAATAGTTAATTTGATGCGTCAGTGATTTCCTGAAAACTAATAAAGATTGTCCTTAATAGTAGAAAAAGAAGTAAGGTTAACGTGTAGGAGTGGAGCGAACAAAAGGGCGATCTGAGTGACAATGAAATATTCTCAAAAACTAATATTAGTATAATATTTCGCTCGTGAATGCAAATAAGGTGATGTCACTAATGCTCATAATTGTTTCTCGAATTATCTCCCTTCTAGAGTCAGTAGCTAAATCAAAGGTAGGGGGGAGAGGAAAAGAGGAGCAGCAAGATATGGAAAAAGATGACTAAGTTTAAGTTCTGCCACGAAAAAATGAAACCAAATATCTCGACTACGAAAGACTCCCCGCACTGCTATAGCCGAACCAGGACGAATAATTATTTTTTATTTTGGTTTGACTTGAGGTTTTGAACTTGTAATGTTGAAGACAGCACAAAACCTCCTACATGCAAAAAGCTGATAACAGTTATTTACGACATCTCTTTATTGCTTTACAACCAGTCAATAGATTACCACGCTTCAGACTTACAGGCATGAGCAGATTAGAAAATCATAACAACCGAGATGAGAAAATGAACATGAAAGAACAGAATATTGAAAAACTTCGCAAAGCTCAACCTCTTTTTAAGCGACAGGCTTGATGGCATATTCCATGACAGACTCAATAACCCACTGCGCTGAAACCATGTTATATTCCTTCGGACATCGATGGAATTTTGTAGGGATCTAAATCCACGTCTTGACGCTTCGAAAACTTCTTGCTATCTGTATTTCATAAAACCCACATTTTTAGTTGAAGTGACGTCGTAAACAATGAAAATTGGTGACGAGAGTTGAGGTGCATGGAACGGAGACAGCATGCTCGACTTATATTGCGGCTCGCGCACTACAATCTCACCACCACCCAAACGTACGAGATCAGGAAGTAAACGACGATCATCTATAACAGCGAATTAAGACCTTGCTTGCGTCTGAACGACACAAAATGAGATTCGATGATCGAAGCGACCTAATAATCTATAACATCTGCAAAATTTAAAATCATTTTTCCAAGAGTATTTCACTCGAACACAATTTTGAACGTTCATAAGCGTATTGCACATTGCACAGGCAATGAATCAAATATGGTATAACGCAAAACTCAAAATTTATTACTCATCTCGGAGATATTGAAACAAAACTAACTTCCGATAAGAAAATTATAGAACTTTTTCTTCTGCTTGAGAAATGAATAAGATAAACACTCACCGATGCCTTTGTATTTAGTGGAAAGAAGGTAGAATATACATCCATGGAATAAGCTAGGTTCCTGAACACTGCTTCAAATTAAAGTATGACTGTTCTCAAAAAGCACCGAAAGAACAAGGTAATACAGGAGTCTGACGTACCATCCTCTCTTTACTTTTTCTACATCGACTCAGCGAATCCGACACGACGTTATTTTCCATATATCGTAGCTTTGAAACTTCATAACTATAAAAATAGCATGTTATTGCTCACAACAAATGATGAAAAAAATATGCGACTAGGGAATCCGTAAGGAACCAGACGCACTGCAAATGTGGCACAGTCTTGCCAGTACGTATGCATTCCTTCAGCCAGTCTACTCCCATTATACGCGTATTTCTGAAAAAAGAAGGCATTGCGCAGGGTTCAACAGCATTTGAATGCAACGCCTTAAAATTCATGCCACAGACAATATTCACTAGAGAAAAAAGCGAGACCAAGACCACGCGAAACGAAATTTAACGAACTGCATCATTGCTCGCAGAAGATCAGCATCGACACTTGCAACCCCATTCGCATCGCATGAAACTACATAGTGAGTTGTTTCTTCATCGCAGAAATCAACAACCTGTGAATAGCAAAATGGATACAATTGACAAGGAAGAGTAACAAGTAGAATCCAAAATGATTCACTTCATAATTATCTCGAATCCTAAGGCGTGATCCAAATTCGAAAGGGAGTAACAAAAAAGGAAGTAACAAAAATAAGGTCTAACCCATACCGTGATCAGCTTATTCAGAGCTGCTTGTTCACCATATGTCAACGATTTCCTTATCTCCTTTGAATAGCAAACAATGTACACATCAGGCAAACGAGCCACACCTAGGAACTAAGCTTGAGATCATCGGCAGCACGTAATTCCCATTGAAACTGACAAGGTTGCCTTGGATGGGTTCGGTACTTTTCTACCAAAGAACGGAGAGGCGAACGGGGTTGAGCTAACTGTGATGGTGTTTCCTGTCTAAGATTACGAATCTGAAATGAGCAGCATTTATATTGGACTGGGCTGAAAGATTAGCACAAGCTCAAACCCCACCGTCTTGCTTGCGCCCTTTGATAGCAGATATCTCACAATTTCCTCATTTTCTTGTGAAACAGCCACATGCAATGCGGTGTTGCAGTCAGATCCACCTAAAAAGAAACGACGCCTTGATGGATGATAGAAATGAAAAAAATGACCCACAATTTGCATTAATCACTGCTCCTCCTCGCTCGACAAGCATTTGACAAATGTCTAAGCGGTTTGCTTCCACAGCTACGAAGAGAGGAGTTCGCTTCAATTCATCGCGTTGATTAACATCATAACCTGCCTGAAGCAACCAACTGACATATAACAAAACTTATTTGACATTACCGTTCCAAAAATAAGATGTAAGAAGAGAATGAGAGGTGAATCCCGAAATTCATACATCAATTGCGCTGCAAACTTCGTCTATGTTTCCATCCAAGACAGCTGCAAAGATTGGATTCTCACAGGATCGAGAATGCACCCTCGGAGTGGAGAACGACGATCTGCGGCTGCGTGTACTCGAGCCCACCTAGGCTCGGTTCATCATTAAAGAGATGACCAAACATTCATGTGGGCAAAACAGTAGCCAGTTACAATGACTGTTACAGTTACTTACAGCCCAGTTACAACCCACCTCAGTCTTTCGACTACATTTGGATGCCTTTGAAGCTTCCTCATATGTCGGAGTAACCGTGCGGGTATTGCTTTTAAGCTCCTTCCCGTTGACTTCTTCAGAACGATTATGCTTTTTTGCTGGAGCATCCAACCATGGTACCTTTGCCTGAATAGCTAACATTTATAGAACAAACTGAAAGAGGTGATCCTCTTCTTCTGGGAGTTCACCTGTTTATTTTCTCGCGCATCAAATGTCTTCAGTGGTTTTGCAGCAAAGTAGTTGTAACTCTTCCCACAGTGATAGGTTTTCACTTCCTGAAATTTCATAGTTATTTCAATTTGTTTGATAGAAATCCCCGAGTCCAGGAATCAATAAAAAGCTGGAGGTAAAAAATGCCCATCACCTGCGTGCATTCTTTCTCGAAGATCTCATTACGAGCATGTACCGCTTGAGAAAGGAATAAAGTAGGCTTCTGTGTCGACGTCATCATAGGCTGCCCCAAAACTGGTACGCTGTCCGTGATTACATCAGTATTCCTAGCACATAAAATTTAGAAGAGCAGCACAGATCCATGGGTGCACTGGCCGTATACTTGTATACTGAGAAAGCGGAAAAGTCGCGTGATCAATCGAACTATCGAAAACAAAACATACGAAGTTGCTGCCATGATCTCCTCATCAGAAAAGTCGTCAAAACAATCAGCAAATTCAACAGTTGGCCTGGCTTCTGTTTCGACATTAGCATTAGGCATTAATTTCGGCGGCGGTGTATTATTGAGTTCCTCCGAATAGGTACTACTTGGAGTTCTGAAAGCGCAGTCTGATTTGTAAACTCCCATACTAACAGAAACGACCCACCTTTCTTTGCCATCATCTGGTGGAGTTGATTCATGAACTCGTTGAGTACTGATGAAGTTTTCAATTGCTCTGAATTTTGTGATATATCCTCAAAGAAAATGGGCGTATAAGGCTTTAGATGGNAAAGCGCAGTCTGATTTGAAAACTCCCATACTGTACAGAAATGACCCACCTTTCTTTGCCATCATCTGGTGGAGTTGATTCAGGAACTCGTTGAGTACTAATGAAGTTTTCAATTGCTCTAAATTTTGTTTTATATCCTTAAAGAAAATGGGCCTTTAAGGCTGTAGATGGGAAAACGAACTCATTTTTGGCAGCCATCGCTTCTGATGCATCGTCATCTATTCCTGCGTGGACTTCGAAGAGCTTCTGTGTCTGAGCAATCGTTGCAGCTCCACAAGCACCACTGTTTCGAAGAGCTTGTTCATACTGAAAATACATCCGTTTATTCCATCATTATCTCATTGCAAAGAACTAACAGCAAAAAAAGGAAGATCCAAAAATTTGAAAGAAAACATGCAAGCACAGACTCCTTGTAGCAACAACTTAAACTCGTTGATGTGCTGCGCGAGATTATTGAAAAGTTGCGCTGATCTAGGATGCTGGAGGTCTAACGGACATGCACATCTTGGACAAAGAGTGAAGGTATCCAATCGTGAATACGAGTTGATGCAATCCCTAAAATATCTTCGGCCATGAATAAATCTAATGATAGAGATATTCATTGTGAAAAACAACCACTATATCACTCTGTTTCGCTTATAATATGGAATGAATAACTTTTGAAAAAGACCATTCCGACCAAGCTTGATCTCGTTCAAAAAGAAGTTCTTTTGGGATTCACCTAGAAAAAGTTCTCGGATCAATAAAGGAAGAAGCGGTGCGAGCTGAACCTCGAGTTTTCTTGGTGTTTTTGCCCATTTCTGAGGGGAATTAGGGTTAACATCCAACAACTGTGGCAGTCTAATTCTTGAATGAAGAATGCGTGTAGGAAAAAAGAACAGAAATAGAGAATGCTTACCAGCAGAATACATGTTTGCAGGCAGTTCCCAATGTCTGAAGATTGTCCGATTCCCGTGAACTGTAATATATTATAGTAAACAGATAAATATGGCATCATCAATGGCAGAACTCTCAAGATTATACTTACCACTGTGGATTAGCACAACAGATTAATTTTGCAAAAAGATCTGCAGCTTGTTTTGTACGCTCAAATCCAACCATTCCAGAATGCAGTCGACAGTCTGAATCCTTTCAGAGCAGGGAATTTTCTTTCCGTAGGAAGGTGACTCTTCAAATATTCTATTTCCGCGCCAATGGTCCTATCAAACGGCAAGGAAACTCGTCCGCATGGTTCCTCCTCAAGCGGGTGCCTTTTTTTGAACGAGAGTGTTTTGCTTCTCTCACCCTTTTGTATGGGTACTATATTCTTCTGGTTTTGTTCAGGTTTGTGACTACAACGCTCTTCGAACCTTCAAAGCAATGAGAATTGTGGGAACACTCCCAGGAAGCATGAAGCAACAGCCATTTCTGGTCGCCATCAATGTAAAATAACGAGGTTAGCGTTTTTACTTCTAAATTGTACTATAGGCACAGTTGCATTTTTATTTTCAGCATAACATTTTGAAATCTGGTCTGGGAAACGAGACTGAACCACAATCGCGTTTTGCTGTGGTGTTTTTCTTAAAGCCGGTTCTATTACATTGTGGCTAGCCTAGTTCTGGGTATAATGTACGTGGCGCTGTGCATTAACCAGGGTGGTGACGGCTCGTAGAATAGAAAGGGTCGCTCTATGATGGTGTTTTGGTAGGTTTTTGGCTGGAACCATTTCCAATTCGAATGATGTTAACCTGATCGTCCGCTTCAGGCGAATGAACCCGTTTATGAATCACGCTTTTCAACAAGCGCTCAATGGTTTTATGCATTTTTGCATTTTCAACGTTTCGAGAAGCCGGCACAGAACCACCCACTACTTGAGAAGAGCACCCACTTCGTTTCTACTCTGGCAGGGAAACATTTTACTTACCAATACTCCACTGTCAGTAGTGACGATGTCTTCTTTTTCCTATCATCTCAGGAGAATCACGCTATGATGCATGCTACTGAATTTCAGCGAGTAAGCAAAACACCAAAAGATGATTCAATCTCGCTTGTTCATTTTGAGATTTCTTTCAGGAATTAACAACGTGTTCAGACCCTTCCTTGCTGAAACTGCAGCTTACTAACATCGTGCGCTTTGATTCAGATATTGCCATTATGTTCTTGATTTTTACCGACTAGGTCATTATGTGATTGGACAGGCTGTGTTCTTCAACTAGTTTGGATAGTAGTCAGAGGACGGCTGCCTTCAGTCGTGCGCGAATGTTGCGCGACGCGACAGTCGCAATCCCGCCTATCACGAGTAATGGCGGTCTTCGCCGTGCGGTGGATGGAGAGGCCTCCAAGGTCGTTGGAAATGGAATGGGGTCACTTCGCAATAAATCCACCAGGGATGACCGTTTTGACTCAGTTTGCTGGCGCATCGCAGCCGAAAACTTTTGTTTCCCTCCACTTCTTCTTCTAGTTTCTTTTTTACTCAAGTATATCCTTTTACCCTTTTATATCTGTACAGACCAACTTAGACACTAAAAATTAGGCAAGTATTGATGAAAAGTCGAAAAATAGCGTTTAAGATGCTGTCGTTTTGATTTTTAGAGCTTGCGAGCCGCTTCTGAAGCACAGTTGGATTTTGATAAAAGTTGAATACTTAGTTAATGTCTATGTATTGTACGATCAATCCATCTGTCTTATTCCTAGAGTGCGCCACGCATTCATCTTTCATTCAGAATAGTAACGGCACCTGGCTGCACCTCTATACATTCTCTGTAATGAATCATGCTGGTCCTACTTAAGAAGAATTTTGATCTTTTTGTGGTTTTCACGGTCTAAAATGCACAATGACGAGAGTTACTGTCAAGTATCGTTTCAGTTTTGATAATTGTACCATCACACTAACGTTTTGGCTTCTTCATTGAATCAGCCAGTTACCGATTTGAACGCTATTTTATGAAAGTGAATGTTTTTGCCTTCCGAAACGACTCGGACACAAATTGATCGATCTCTGGGAGACAGAAGTTTTAGCTACCTTGGACTAAAGGAAGTCTATCTTTGGCATGCGAAGTTATTTATTGCTCGGTTTTTCCATGTGCATGAAAGTTGTAGCATTACTGCCAAGCTCTGAAGGCTCAATGGCGTGCACAGTGGAGCAAGTAGGGCTATGCTCTGAGATGTGGCAGTGTATACTGCAAACCAGAGCGCTGCACAAAACTATTAGAAATCCTTTCCGAAATTGAAGATTTCGTTTTAGCTGCCGAAAGCAGAGGTGATGGAGTGCTAAGTGAAGCAATGGCTGTGAGGCTTGAATCCCTGCGTGGTACTTGCCAGGCAAATTGAACCTTACATTCTACTGGATTTGAATAATCTATACAAGACTCTTCGGGGAGAATAAAAAGCATGACTATTACAAAGGCTGGCTTCCCGAAATCATTGTATGGGCCAAATACGCATTCAAAACGTCACTAAAATTCCGAAAGGAAGCCGAATGCATGGCATGTCCCAAAACGCCAGAATCGAAGTGATTTGGAAATAAGTCGGTCTTCTCCACTTGAACGGCATAATAACCCAAGAAATTTTCACTAAGGAGTAAACCACCTAATGACATCGATCGTCTATAGGTAACCCACTAGAGAGCATTGAGAGCATTGGGGAACCTAGAGGGAAAGCCACTCCACAATCATCTGACAGATGAGAATGTGATCGCTGCGAATATACTACTACGGGTTCTGTACGCTATTCACCGCCAGCTGGATAAGGATGACAGTCCCCATACCGATAGTTTGTACCCGAATACAGACTTTTCTGCTTTCTTCCGCACAATCTTACTAAGCATTTTGTGTTTATTATAATTACAGCAATCCCTTCCGTCTTCCTCCCACAAGATGATATACTCTTCAAAAGGTTCGCTCCCTCGCTATATTCTTAGTTCAATGTTGAAATGGTACTGTTTTTGTCAGTTCTCGTTCTGTCTTTTCACGACAGAAAACACTGATCCACGAAGTACAATTTCAGTCTTACAACTTGTTTTGACATTCGTGCCACTGATTCACAGTTCAAGCCATGGCTGAATGCCCGGAGATGACCATTTCCTGTAACTAAAAATAACGAAAATCAATTTCAATGAATCAGTTCAATCAACAGTTTCTTAACTTTCCCGGTGAAGAAGTCTTTAAAAAAAACCCGTTTAGGTGATTCCACCCGACGTTTTTACAATTTTTCGTTCCTTTCGGCAAACGAAACAGCAATTCAACTAACTGGTTGCTGTAAACGTGGGAGTTTTGTTTTAGTGGGCATCCTCGCTTTCAAATTGGCTATTCGCTCTGGTTATCAGCTCGAGGGGTTCGCGAAAGTGTGGAATCCGAGATGTAAATTTTTGGAAGTTCTGACCGGAGTGAACCTACCCTCAAAAAGGCATTTCCATAGCTTTTTTGCCATATGAAAGATGAGTTTGCGAAGGTGGTGCAGATGTTTCTGGAGGTGAAGATTAATGGATCTGGTGTGAATTCATGAGGGCACTGCTAACATCAATAGCTCACATTCCTGTTATTGAATTGGTACAGTAGTGAAATGAATAGATTTATTGAAGACATGACTTAGTGCAATTAAGACATATCGATAACCGGCTGTCTCAATTGTGTCTCTGTAACGTATTGCCCTTCATAATTACTTTCAGAGCGCAATATAGTGTATGCTAAATATCCTCATTCATGATAATAATGCCAACGTATATTTCTTCAATTTAGGTCGAGGTGGCGTAGATTACCGTAAAGCCGGTCCTTAACACCGTGGAGGGCACCTGTGCCGACTTTCCGCATCTCGAGCCTGGCCGCGTCGCTTTTCTCCTTCCAGAATGTTGAATCCTTTCGGAGTTCTTCAAGACTTCCTGGCAAGCTGCTTCTACGATTATGGACTATTCATCAGTCGACATCCAAAAGCATTCGCGCTTGGCCCTCTTATACTAACCAGTATTCTCGCATTTGGTGCATTGAATGTAAGAATGGAGGTGAGCAGCAATTGATTTTTAATTACACATTTAGCTTTTAGATTGTTCATATATTTAAGGATGATCTTCGATTTTTGTATTCACCAGAACATTCACGATCGAGATTAGAGTATCAGATTCACAAAAATTTTTCTGGAGCCACATCTAACAGGTCAGCTTTTTATGAACAGCTATTCCACTATTATGTTTTTCACCTCCATTGAAATGTTAACATCCGAGGCCAATTGTGAGAACGAGATTCCGATCCCAGCTGGGGTTGCACGAGTTTTCTGAAATCACCATCATTATACTGCAGGCCAAAGAAGTATCCAAATTAGGGTCCTTTTGGGGTGATCTATCAATTCATGTATTTCACTTCGTATTAAGTCCAAATCGTTACAACCCTTTTCACAGAATATCTAATTTAGTCCGTTGTCAGGAATTTCAGCTCATTCGTTTCTGTCACACTTGAGTCGCTGGATGGCGACAAGAACTTACTTACCAAAGAGAAATGCGCTCTGATCCGGAGGTTGAACAAGTATATCATGGAAAACCTGACTTTGACTCTGGATGGAAACGAGGTGGGAACTTATCGTGGATTCGGATCCTATTGAATGCATATTAAAGAATTTTAATTCAAGAATATTCAGTATCTTGGCTTTTGAAATTGAAGCTACTCATGATTAAATGATATGCAGTGAGTTTTAGGTGAATTTTGGTAAAGATATATGTCCCCTGCTCAAGCAGTGTACCTTCAGTAATCTCATTGCCGACATATTTTTCGATTCCGTTTTCAGTAAGCAGGTGAGTGGAGCGACGAGCATTATTGACAGCATTCTTGTATCGTTTATATTGCTTTAGAGATAGTTGCTGTTATAGACACGCGAAAACCCACGGATAAAGGTGGAATATCCAACAATGACATTTTTTGAGAACAAGTTGTTCCTTCCTACTCACCTATATGGCGTACGAACCGATGACAAAAACAGTATTAAGTACATGGATATGGTCCATCTGATCTACAACGTCCCGTCCTACCGAAGCGTTGGTTTTCTATCATTTATATTTTTCTTATATTTAAGGATTCGAAGAAGGCTTAAGGAAAACGAGAGTGTTACTGTAGCTCCGTTAAATAGTTGCAAGGAAGTTTGGTGCTTTTCCTTCCTTGAAAAACAAACCGTCCTTCTCTTTTTATACAGCGAACGGAATTTGTTCAGCGAAAAATGAGTTTGAAATGCTCCGTAGGCCTCTTCTTACTATTGAGTTATGGCGAAATGTGACAGTCAGCAAAATGTTTAAGGAGCTCTAAAAAAGGTTTTTATAAAGTTTTTTAGTACTCGTCGGAAGAGGTATCAACAGCTTTTACTGAATCGCTCAAGGAGTTGTTCGGTACAGAGCTAGCGCCATTCAAATCTTCCTTATTCAGTCTTCCCATTCTAAAAGAGGAGATGCAAAAGAACGCTACTTACACCATCCCTTTCATTTCCTTGACCATACTTCTGTTGGTCAGCTTTACCGTTGGATCGTGGTAAGCCTCACCATTGTCGAAATTCCTATAATCTTTTTCTCCACTCTCTCTTCAACGTTCAACTGTAGTTCAAGAAAAATCTTCATTCAGCATGACCGGTGATTGGATAACTTCGAAACCTATAGAAGCGATGATTGGGGTTCTTACCTCATCAATGGCAATTGTCAGTGCTGGAGGCATACTATTTGCTCTTGGAGAACCTTTTATCTACCAGGTAGGCTGCACATATTCAGTACATCACTGTTTCCACCTATATCTAAAATACTCTTTTCTGAAGCCTTAGGGAATCCTATGGAGCTTTAGGGAATGTAAACCACTTAACAGTGCTAGCACTAAAAGATCGAGTAGGAAGTAGAAAAGAGCAGCTGACTACTGTAATCAATAGGGTGAGCACCATTGAGGAAAGACCAACAGTCTGTATAACTAGGGAGCTAAAACTCCAAGAGATTGAAGATTCATTTTCTAGTTTCCATGAAAGGGAAGAGGCGGCTTTTGTCTTGGGTAATCAGGGGACTAACTTAACCAGTTACATGGAAGGAATCCTTCTGTGTTCTAATCGTGATGCCTATTTCGTCTTATAGTTTCCATAATTCTTCAAAAAAAAGGCAAAAAAAAAGTCGTGCACCACTTCGAAGTGTCTTTTCAATTTTCTGTTCTTTATAATAACCCGCGCTAGCGTTTATGCTCGAGAATAAGTCTCATAGTTTATCACTCTTTGAGGTGACTGTCATGCCCTTTATTGCATTGGCCATAGGAGTTGATGACGTTTACGTTATGCTTGGTGCATGGCAAGATACTCGACGAACCCTCCCTCCTGAAAAGAGAATGGCACTTGCGTTAGAGGAAGCTGGCAGGTTTCGCCTTTTTTCATTTGTTGGATTCTCTTAAGGATCCTACTCATATCTGGTTTTCAGTGCAATATCTGTAACCTCGATCACATCAATTTTATCATTCGGTATTGGATCCTTCTCTTCTACACCAGCTATTTCCATCTTTTGCAAGTTTATTATGGTTGCAGTAGCTTTCGATTGGTTTTATCAGGTGATAATGCTGAATACTTGTGTGATATTTCACCTTTTTGATTCTTCCGAGGGTGTTTGACAAGAAGATCTTAGAGATACACCAACTATCTTCTAATATAATGAAAGTAATTGAAATCTGCAATAGACGGAGTACCCTCTATGAAAATCTTTCAGCTGACCTTCTTCGCTGCTGTTATGGTGCTAGGTGCGCGAAGAGAGGCTGCTGGATATCACTGCATTTTCGTTTGGAAAAGATGTGATAAAGTTGAACGGGAAAAGGTGAGCGTACTTCCATTGCAAGTTCCTTATGCTAATGGAAATCGAATCAAAGAATATTCGAGTTCAAGCAAGTCCCCCCCCCCCCCCCCCNTCTTTTGACATGATTTTGTTGCCAAAACCTGCTGCTCATGTGCGAATGGTGTTCCAGTGTTCGCAGGAAAGCTCTGCATAATGGCATGCTAANCCCATTGAGTTCTTCGTCATGGATAGTTCTTAGTTCTTCGGCTTAGTTATTAGACCCAACATAAATTTCAAACCCTATTTTGAGCTGCACTAGCTTTACCTGATGCGTCTACAAGATTGGGGCGTGCAACAAAACTGAAGCTGTCTGTAAGCAGCTGCACCATGCAAAGCAAAGTCGGAAAGCCAGCTGTCATCACTGGTAGTCGAGTTCATTGCCAAGGTGAAAGCTGGCAATGCGTCCTTTACTTACGGAGCTGGAAATGGGCTGTTACTTTTTTCAAACCTCTCTACCCTCCTGTTTTCGTCAGAACAATGGCTTCAGAAAGTCTAGGCACTAAGCTACCGAAAATATAGGCAGGACTTTTCTCCAGGTCTCTTTGAAGGCTTCAGCCAACTTCATCGAATCTCTTCACTATGAATACTTTAACGATTGGTGTGTTTTAAAAATCAATCTCAATAGTTCCAAGTGAGCGTTGCACCCTAAGCTGGCACTACCTTGTGAGTATTGAAAGTAAGAAATTGCTTCCCAGATCATAATGGTTCATTTTAGGCAAAGTCTTCGGACACGGCTTCACCTTCGAAACACTTTTTCAGTAACATATTTGCTCCCATTATTTGCAATCCAGTGACTAGGATTCTGATCGTAAGTTTTGATGAGTTTTCATGTCCTGGAGTGGCTTCATCAATTGTCAATAATCCAAAGTTGATCAAACCCATTTTGGAATGCGTCCTCCGTGGTATCCACCTACGTCCTATCCTGATTATTATTTTTGTGTGGCATCAAATTTGTAAATGTTATAGAGATTGCCGTGTAGACCTCTCTCGAAAAATCATCATCACCAAAATCATCAATTATTCCAATCCAGCACCATTGCAAAATCCAATGGACTATCGTGGCCTTTATTTGTTTCATGAGAAAAGTTTTTTTCTTCCAGATCATTGTGTATGGTGTATATATACTGTTAGCATTTTATGGTTGCTCACAGCTGGAGCCAAATTTGACGCCATCCCGTCTAGTTGTCGATGATTCTCCACTGGTTCATTACCTACATCTTGCCGAGAATAAGATATGGGCTGAAGGCCTCATTGGAAGGGTTTATGTAAACAAGGCTCCGGATCTTAGAGATCCTAAACAGGTAAGCTTTCTCCTGAAATATTATCTGTATTTTTTCTGTTAGAGAAGACTAGGTTGAGAAGAATTCGGCCTGAGCGAAGTTCTTTTTCAAAGTATTGTATGTATGTGTAGAAGCGCAGACTTCTTAATGAAGGAACTTGTCTGCGTTCTGTTGACTTCCATTTTTTGCCGTTTTTGGTTTCTCCGCGAGACGGAACCAAATGGCTGATCCTCTAGACTGAATGCGAACTTATTCCTTCTGCAGAATGATCGTTTGCTGAGCCTTGCCGCTGACCTCGAAAGCACGCCATATTCGATGGGACCTAATTCAACTTCGTTTTGGCTGAGGGAGTTCAATGGTTATAGACAATATTTTGCAGAAGACAATGAGCGGTAAGGGATAAGTTGATGTGTCCTCTCAAGATTTTAGATTGCTCCGCGACTGTAAGCCATAAAACTATGTTGGTGTCGAATTCCTCTAAGATCTGATTGTAACAGCTGGATTTGTTACTTGCAGTGACGTCATTCTGATGAGTTTTTCAGGATATACTCTACCTTGAAATCATTTCTGATGGTTTCTTTTAATAATCACTGGGAGTCTGACATACAGTGGTCAAACCACACAAACGAGGTATGTGGTTCACCTGATGGAAAATTGAGTTGAGCAGAATAATCTCTGGCTCATTGCCAGAAGCAGTTATTCGTTTTCGAATAACTACATATGTCGTTTTCTTTCTGTTTCTTTCCCGTTCTCACTCCTTAATCCTCCAAAAATGTTAGAATTTCTTGAAAATTCTGAATTCAAATCGAGTGGAACCAGCACTTATTAGTTTGAGCGAAGGCAAAGTACTGACATTAAGGTGAACCACATAATAATACATAGTCTCGGAGTTACGGTAGCTGGTTGTACTTAAAATTTACAACGACTCGTCCGAAACTTACCACCTCCTCTTTTTTTCTCTGTGGCCCTTGAAAAGCAAAGGAAATTTCATACTTAGCACTGCATAGTATCAGTGTTAAGATCAGTTCTTCGAAGTGATTAGCTCTGGCCTAAAGATTACCTAGCTGGCAATCGGGCGCTCAACTGGTAAAATCTACTTGCTCGCATGGCGCTCATTTGTGTTGAAGATGGGCTACTGCACTGCTTAAATGTTCATAATATTTTTAGCTTGATCTTCCTTGAAATAGGAGTGAGTAATTACCAATTATAGGAAGAGCAACGAGTAGAAAAATTTGTATTCACGACCGCGTTCAAAATAGAGAACTGGAATATGCGAACTGCACTTCTCCTTATGTGGCGTAACATTACAAGTCACTACCCAGAAATCGAAGCCTTCGTTTTTGATGAGAACAACTTCTATTCCGACCAGGTAGGATTCTTGAAGCCAGTGCCCATTGCCTTGAAAAGCTTATTCTTCAGATGTTGGAGCTGCAGACAACTACACTCCAATCTTTGGGAACAGCTATACTCATCTTAATTGCAGGTTCTGTTTTTAGATCATAAGTTGTATAGATATGACTATTTTGGGAAAAGGGTCAAGCATATGTCGAGAAATTCTCGAAGGGCAGGAGAGCTGTACCCACAAAATATACATAAGACAAAAAATACGGTATTGCATTACTGGAAAAGGCAAAAACAAGAGTTAGAGAAGACCTTGAGGGTGAGAATTCTTCTGGGAAGAAACTAAAAAAGGATGGAGGGTGAAGGGGTGTACAGGTGAACAATTTCGCTCGACGTCATGCTTAACTCTCACTATGAGGCCTCGACGAGATTCCATTGTGTATGTTTCAGTTTGTATCCTTTTCGTCGCTGAATCGTCGATCGTCTTTTGGGTCACATTCAGTCTTGTATCGATGGATATAGGAACAGCTGGGTTCTTATCTTTATGGGGTGCAGATCTCGATCCCACCACTGTCGTGAACATTTTGGTGAGTTACAGTAAGTTCTAGCACATTTTCATTTTGAAAAATGGTATAAGATTTCCTCCGTCACCATGCTATGCTGCTAACATAGCTGAGTTCTCTTTTTCGCTTTCCTACAGCAGTGATTGCCTTTGCTTTACTTTTTATTCAGGTCTCCCATGCTTTTTCAAAAGATATCGTTTATTTTCAAAACCTTAATCTTTTTCAGATGTCTATTGGGCAATGTATTGACTTTGCTACTCATGTGGGGTATCGAATTTATAGATCAGAATTTGCTGATCCCAATGATCGTATTCGAGATGCTTTGGGTGCAATAGCATGGCCTGTACTTCAAGCTGGAAGCTCTACACTTCTTGGTAAGTCATTTTTCTTGGAGGCTAATTTCTGATATCAAAATTCTTTCCCTTCCACTAAAGCCAACCAGTCGATACTGGGCGCATATGGCTGCTATCGCAAATTACTTTTCGCTTAAAATGTGGTTAGAAGAGGTAGGAGTCAGATGGTGCTACAGGGCGGATCGTCGAGGCTCTTCCACCAAGATCATTCAATTTGGCACGCATAAAGTAGCGAGTGGCTATCTTTTGACATGATTTTGTTGCCAAAACCTGCTGCTCAGTGTTCGCAGGAAAGCTCTGCATAATGGCATGCTAAAAATTTCAAAATGTCATAGTGCTCCTACTATGTAGCCATGATTTGTGCCCTATAAGAGGAAGTAGAATACTCCTACAGAACCGTTACTTTTCAGCAATAGTAGTAATGATCCTGGTTCCCTCGAACGCTGTGAGAATGTTCGCTCGCACGTCGGTGCTCGTCGTTGCTACGGGACTATTCCATGGTTTGCTTGTACTCCCTGTTGTTATCAGGTAAGTCCATAAAAGATATGAGTTCTTAGTTGAAAAAAAAGTGAAAAAACTCGATTGCTGAAATAGTCGTACAAGTTTTTTCAGCGTCATTTACTCGTAATTCAGAACGTTCGCAAGCCACGCCAAGGCTCACGACCCAAATCATCGAAGTCACTGTTCAAGCATGGCAAACATGGGCAGTCGTTAACTAGCTGGCCGGCTGGTTATGAAGGTGGTATCGTATTGTACCACCATTCCTGGTTCTTGTCGGCTGACTTGCTCTGTATTGGCCATGACGACAATCGAGGTTTCCAGCTGTCCCGACGATGAAGCATCGGGACAAATTCACGACTTTTTTGTTCCTTTTGTAGTAATAAATATCCTTACAGTAATACACAGCTATTTATGTGTTTCTGTCATTATTCCTATCTGTTGCTGTAATCATAATTTAGTCCTGGTAGGTTGTAGAGCGTTAAAACAGCCTTAGAATAAAGATGATTGGATGGCGAACCAGTGTGGTACCGAATCACCGATCAATCAATATCTATCAATTCCATTCTGCAGAGAATCTAAACGGTCACCAATAGCTGCTTTTATTTTCTCGATATGCCCGCATTTCTACGGTGTAGGTGGTGTGTGGTGTGGATAAACTTTGAACTAGGGAGTTTCGATAAGGTTTAACCGGTTTGCCGTTGATTATGGAATGTTTACAAACAAAAAATTCTTGATCCTCATTTTTTAATCTAATCGGTAATTTCACCAGAGAACCCTGAGTAAGAGCTTTGCGATTATTCTTTTCCATTACTGGTTCTGAAGGAAGGTTTCACATTGGGGGGAAACCTTGGCACTCAGCCAATTGTCAGCTCTCATCCGAACAATAACAATGACCCGGATAAATTGAACTGAGGCTTCGATTTTCTGGCAGGAAGAGGATGTCGATAGACTGGGTCCAACTATTCCGGTAAGAGAGCGCAGACGAAAAAGGTAGGCGCGAAATTCGAATGGAATACAAAATGAATGTCCTCAGCTGGATAGGTAGGGTTTTGTGGAATGTTACGTTCGATTGGGAGAGTTTTTTGCTCCTTGATCTCCCTTCTCTGTCGTAGATTATACCCACAAGAGTAATAGACTTCGTTTTTCATTCTACTTTTTCGTATGTGAAAGGCTAACGTTCTGCTCCTCTCTTAAATGGCGCTTCTTGAATTAGTGCCTTTGTGAGAGCACTAGGCTGGTGAGTAGTTCCCCACTCTCCATATAGGAACTATAGGCAAAGGATATGCACCGAATGCAGCCGTTGTTGCAACACACTGGAGTCGTCTTCACCGGGAGACGGGCGTTAGGAACGATTTCGGGTAATCGGTTCGCCGCACGCGGCTGTCGCGGACCACTCATTCGCCGTTATTACAGCTCTACCGTTCTTCATACAGATCAATCGATATGCGATCATTATTTTATGCATAATTCTACTATTAGTACTTTTGTTCTTGTATTTCTTAGCTACTGCTACATCCTGCTACATTCCTTCGCGCGCGACGCCCCTCTCACCGCGACGCGACCATTTCGTTCCTAACGCACCACACCCGTCTTCACCTCGCTTCTCTCTAGACCGTGCCTGGGACCAGTTTTCTGCACTACACCGAATCGTTTGAGAGTTATCACAACTTGTTAGGCTTCGTTCAAGATAACTCAGCTGTTACCAAACGGTTACGATTTTGTAAATTGATTTAGAATTGTAGTTCAGATTTAGGGTAGGGTAGCGAAACACAGATCTACCTTACTGTACAGCTCTATTCACAATAGCAATCAATTCTTTGCCAGGAGTTAACCCAAATCTAATGCATTCAGTTCAGAACCTCTCCAACTATCCATTTACCAGTGACATTGAGGAGAAGAACGATATGGGAAAGCGTAACCGTCTTCGAAAATTCGAGGTGCACATCCCCCTTTAACAGGATGTGGGGATGATTTCTCCCTTTAACTCTTACCTATAACGCCTGTATTCCTAGAGCTTTAATGGAAAATAATTGCGATTACGATTTCTCTTATAAAAGTATCGCCGTTATAGGCTTCATATCGCCCTTACAGGCCTCGAGACCTAAGAGGACTATGTTTTTCTTGTAATATAACCGAAGATTTCTGTCAGTATATTTCTGGTCTTTTTCTCTGCAGCAATTAATCAGTCATGAAAGGTGGAGGGCTGGGTAGGCCACCGCCTGATGCTGGCATTCCACATGACATGAAAACGCTTCTGAATGCATTCAAAGAAAGAAATTCATTGAGGTATGACTTTTTTTAAAATTCTTTACTGTGAAGTGTTGAACGATCAATCGCAAACTGGCTTCCTTTAAACATGCTGCTGCCAAAGTCTGAAACGGTAACCATACACTGGAAAAAATTGTGTGCCTTTGAATAGCGCTTTCTCTCAGGATCACTTGCAGATTGATCGAATTCTACGAAGTTGCGGTAAATTATGGTCTGAAAGATATCTACGCTGGACGAATGAGTGTTGCTGATCTAGTTGGGGTAGGATTCATGTTATTCTCAGTGATCGCGATTACTCCATATCCTTGTGATTTCATCAGTTTTCGATTCAGTTTTTTTACAGTTCGCTGAATGCTTACTGAATGCAGCATTTGCCTACACAAGGCCGTGTAAAGAGTATCCGAATGGACTTGGAGAAGAACAAACCATAACGGTACTGCTTTCTGAAGGTTTTCGAGTTCACTTTCCTCATGTTGAAACCGTTTCCGTCTGCAAATTATCACCAAAGTGTGGTTTTACAAAAATCGAGTTTTCATTCGAAATCTAGTTATCGACAGTGAGCTGACTCCGTCCATCTGAGTAACCCGCGACCTTAGCCGGCTCTCCTTATTATCCAAATTGAGAAGAGTTATACGGCAGTGTAAGAGTGGGAATGAAAATGGACATCCTTCAATGGTAGTTAAACTGCCTTCTATTCTTCATGAAGAGGAGTTGTCATCACAGCTATGATCAAAGTTACCCTACTCATAAGTAAGACCTGCAGCGCTACTCTAAAGGCTCAAAAAAGAAATGCCGCGCTGTTGTAGACTGGAGAACATGCTACTATGATAGCTTCAAGCTCAGGATATCGCCATCCGAGAAAGAAAGGCGACAAATGAGCATACTCTCCACAAGGACGATATTAAACAGTTCGCGCGCAACTTAGCATCCTGGGTTAGGTTCGACACCTCATTGGTGTACTCCGGTAATTCAAGGAACTCTAAGATTCTCTTGGGCATGGTAGATCTGACACCTGATCGACTATAATCACAAATCGATTTCGAGTCATTGGCAGTCTCCTTCAAATGCCGGAATTATATTATTTGAGTACCCATCTTTTCAGCACTGTTTTGCGTTAGAACCGCAGTACTGAATCATATTTTCCTGCTTTCAGGAGCGTATTTTTGGAATATACGTAACATTTGTGCTTTTTTATGCTCAACCGATTGACTACGTTACTAAGGTGAACCAATCCAGGTCTATCCTTTATGTACACTTCGTTTTCTTCTGAATTTACCTTCACAGATCCGCATGCTTCCGGAAGATTGTGTCAGCATAGTACATTTTGCGCATGAAATACTGCTTCCTGGCGGGCATATTGATGCTTACGCATGCTTACAGAGGCTTTTTTGTGATGGTGCTTTCAGAATCGTTATGTCCATTAAAGATGTAGGTTCAATCTATGACTTGATGCACGTTAATTCCCTCGAAGCTGTATTTTTTGTTCAAGTACGACCTTTCCAATCACCGTCGTTATGAGAAACCGAACCCAGTTGAGTTGTTGGTAGATGAGGACGAACGATATGAGCCGTTGGAAGCAGCATCTAGTATCGTGAAGCATCCAGTTCTCAAGGTAAAATGCGATGTTTCCCAGGAACTCATCCTAGCTCATGACTCTTGCATTCAGGCCATGACTTTCGTAGAAAGGAAAATGGAACAAAAGGAAATGATGCTGTTCAATCGTCGGATAACTGAAAGAGAGAACGACAAGTTCAACTTTTTGGATAGGTTACAAAAGTATGTTCCATTTGTTTGCACATCATAAGGTGTTGATGTTTACTTGCAGTTAACAAATCAACATGTTTTAAAACTTACCTTTCTTTTTCATAAACTATTTCACTAATGTAATTTTTGCACATAAATCGGAGGTATCGATCTGTGATCGCTTTTTATTCATTGTCGAAATGTTACGCTTCCCACAGGAATGCTGATGAGTGCAATTATTATACTATTCTCTTCAAGTTGGACTCTTTTTTTTCGATCAACCTTCCCGTTCCTTTTCATTTTTTCTACAAAAAATGGCTGAATACCATTCTTGTTACCATGGCCCAAATTTCAAACAAACGTTCTCAACTTGGCGAGTTAAAGTTATGGTAGATGAAAATCTGAGGTCTTCATCTTGCGAGGGTTTAGCTGAATAGGTGCACAAAAATATCAATTTTTACTCGCAGTTTTTATTTGAGTAATCACAGGGCGAGATGAATAATCGAGAAGGGGAAGCTTATAGTTGGGTACTAAGCAATCAAACTATGGTCTTGTTGCTGTTTCAGAAGTTAGAAGTAAAGTTTCAGCATCTATGCCACACTCGCCCACGAGTTTTACAAAGCTGACAACGAAATCGAAGAGGTGATTTTTTCGAGAATTATGTCCAATAACAAGCACGCTCTCTGAATGTAGTTTTCAGGATATTTTTGAAAAGTGGAAATGTTCAACTTCCGCTACAGCTCGCAAGAAACAACCAGGTGCTTCATTACCTACACGATTTTCCCTTCATACAGAGTAATAACTGTAATTCCAAAAGATTCTGAACTGCTTCACCAAAAGTGGGCCAAAGGTTCCCAGTTCGGGGTTGAGTATTGTTTACAAAAACGGTCTGGGTAATTGAGGATACAGTAGTTTAGAATACCGAGGCAGTTATTAATGTTTAGAGTCTACAACTGCACAAAAGGCACGAAGCGTCAAGGCAGTGGAAAATGGAGCTGCTCGGGGAAAGAGAAAACTTGAATCCTAATCATAGGTTTGCTAGTGAATTTATTTTCAGTCGGAGGTATTTTAACCTAAGTAAATTTGAATGGTAGTAAAGGTTCCCTTTGGTTGTAGGAAGGTGGCTAAGTGTTGGTAAAATAGGTAATTTTCTTCATTTTTTTTCAGCCTTGTAACATCGATATGAACGCTGAATAGGCACTGTTGCTGAAGGAAATCGGACCAGTGAATATACTGCTACATCGAGATGAAGAATAACTTGTAATGGAACAGATATTCTTTGACATTATTCTTGAAAGAAAGTCATGCATTTGCATTAGTCGTTAGCAATTTTTCTAGTGTTGGTATTTATTCTTTACCGAATTTTGATTTGTGACCTGCGGATGGCAAAATGCTGCAAAATAATGCTGACAACAATTTGTAGCTCTGCTCGGCTTACTTTGCTCTGCTCAAAAGATAGATTGCACTCGCTTAAAACTCAATCTGTTTTGCTCTGATTCATTCAGGACAATGGCTGAACCGTTACGGATCTGTGAAATGAATTTCGCGAGTGTAGCAATAACTGTGCACAGCTCAGGAAGGCTTATGCATTTAAACCAACATTTTCATGAGGTAGGAGTTAGTAGTTTCTTCTCAACAGTGTCTCCTTGGCGCTCTTTGGGATGACGGCGCTATGGCAATGCCATAGCGCCGTCATCCCAAAGAGCCTACGACGGCTGCAATCCACCATGTACATGGTACTTACATACGAAAATCTCAAGCGGTTCGACCGAGAAAATTACCAATTATTTAAACAGCACTGATTTTCAAATGTGTAACACAAACTGGATCTTAGAAAATAGCTCGTAATTTTCAGGCATGAGTTTGTGTACTAGATTTCAATTCTACTCTAATTTTATTTACTCTGTTCACCAATTCACGTTGCATTACTCTCAACTGAAAGCAAATCTCCTCATCGTTCTCGATCTGGCCAACTACTGCTCATGGCGATTTAAAACGCACACGCAAACATCTTATTCAAATTTCAATCTTCATCATCTGAGCATCATCACGTGAACAGCTACTTTCGTGATATTGCCTGTACAAGACCTATTTTCATATCGAAACAATGAAATATTTTGTTGCTACAGGTCGCTCATTCCGCCTGATTCTCGAGCTGCGCTTTGATATCCTTCCACTGCTTTCCAGCGTTCACCTGAAAAAATACTTTTTGAGAAAAAGGATTAGGAATTCGTCACCTAAATCTTGCAACTCTTGCGGATAACTAATAATAAAAGCCACTCTTTCGCAGCAAGAAGGGCCTCAGGCCTTTATAAGCAATAAGGCTTAGGAAGCTGCCAAGTTGGAAAACTTTTTTAAGGGTTCCATAACTAATTTGTTAGGCATGCCAGACCATGAGTTGAGTCCATTGCCTATCATTTCTAAGCTTTGACTTTCACAAGTTTCTTATTCAAAGCTTTGTTCATATTGAAACTGGAATTAGTGGAAAAATTAATGCTCATGTCCATTTAGAGTTTAATAAAAAAAATTTAAAGCGGAAAGCTCATGCATTAAGAAGCCAATCTGTTGAGCTATGGATGGTTTGCAGTTAGAGGCTCGTCAAAGAGAAGGGCAAAAGCAAAACTCACCCTGTCCCATATTGTGTCAGTGACAGCGTCGAACGTGTAATTTACGAGAAAGGCACCGACGGATGCAGCAAGGAAAAGAGTCGAGAATCGACGAGTGATGTTCTGATATACCACAGATCCGAGTGACATGTCTGAACCTCCACATAGGTAAAAATTCCAGGAAAAAAAGAATTTCGGAACCCATGATAAGTAAGACTGGTAAATGATGCGGTAGGAATGATACTGCTTATAAAAACTCACGTTAAAAGGAAAGGTGAACATCAAAAACAAAAATAAGGAGACGAGAGAAAAATCCACGAAAGAGGAAAAATACGCAACATTAATGAGAAGAACAATAATGCAAAATTGCGAGCGCGGTCATATTGGAACCTACATTGTTCGTTAAATACCTTTTACCAAACATGTACTATTCTGAATTCAATTCGATTTCACAGCATTCGTTACAAAGAGAAAATATCGAAGGAAACACACAAGAAACTAGTTCCCTTATTGCATTTTTATAAATGTAATTTACGACCTAACAGATTGATCCAAAGCGTTATAAGGGATATCCTGAACAAAAAAAACTATGAAGGTAAAACTCTTTAGCTCTCATTAAACAAGGAAAGCAGTTTTGCATAGAAGGACTACCTCTCAAGATAAAGGTTATTAATCATCAACCACTATGGGAGGTCAATTGCAAAACCTTTTCGTGACGTTGCTCTTCAATACTGACCTACACGAAGTAGTTGAAGCTACAAAACTGATTAATATCAGAACTTGTGAAATACTTGCTCAGGACGCGCGGTACAAACTCTTGTGCACTTTCACCCCGTGCGATAGGGTGTAAAATCACCTCAAGTCGCCCGTGCAATTGCGTACGGCCGAAGCGATCGTATCCCGACGCTTGGGCTTATAAGTTTGCAGGAGCATCGGAACAGAACGAGCCCACTAGGTCGTTTCAAAGCTTTTTTTCTGTTATGGTTCTCCTTTGCCACATCATCCATCCACTTCAAAATATTTTGTATCCTGAACCTTACTACAATGACTCGGAAGTACATCCATAGTCACTTTTAGTTGAGGCGCTTCAAAATGTCTCTCCCATACTCGTACCTTTTCATTAGTAGAGGGGTGAACTGGAGGGGTGAGAAATAATCGTATAGCTCACTAAGGGAAGATTCCAGACCTGCCCACCAGCGCACTTGTAGCTGGTTATTGGACAGAAGGCTGAGAAAGAACCTTCGCGTCCACAAATTCGAAAACTGCAATAAAATCCACATGTCTATTTGTAACTTACTTCATTCACTGTCCACCATTCAGAAATAATACTTTGGCGCTGTTGTACCGAGCGCTCTATACCGTCTATTTCCCGATTCCCGTTTAATCTTCACTCAGTTTGTTTGACTGTCGAATCAGGGCTGGGTGAAATGTAGTTGGGGGGTGCCAGCGCCCTTCCGTCTAGTTGCTCTGCGTCTCTGACCCAGGCGGCAGAGTACCCAGAGAC